GACAACCTGGCTTCCCCATGTATAAATGGTAGTGAGCTAGGCTCTTGGTGGACCTCTGGTCCCACCTGGCCTTGGGAGGTGAGGTGGCTGCGGCTAACTGAAGGGCATAGCCAGACAGGCTCCGGGTCTGTGTGCTAGCAGCCTGGCCTCCCCAGCATGGCGAGGGGAAAGCAATCTCTGTGGCGCCAAGAGGAGAGGGCTGGAAGATCTGAAGGAAGCAGAGGTGGGACAGTGAGCGGCACTGAGCTGCCTGCTGTCCTCTGCTGCAGGCGGTGGGGTCTGGGGAGCTAGGGTTGAAAGTTATTACAGAGCACTGGGGTAGCTAGATCATGGTGGCACAAACCATCCCTCAAGTAGCAGAGGCAGGAGAATTTCACATTTGACAGAAGACTGGGCTCTGTAGTGAGATCTAGGTCAGCCTAGGTTCCATGGCAAGATCCTGTCTCCAACATCTGGGCCTGAGGAGTTAGCTCAGTCGGAGAAGAGCTTGCAAAGCAAGCACTTCAGAAGCCACATACTAAAGCTGAGAGTGGAGAAGTTCGAATGTAGTCCCATCTGGGAAGGGAGAGATGAGCAGAGCCCAGAGGCTCTCTGCCTACTCGGTGCACTCCAGGCCAGTGAGAGATGCTGTCTCAAAAACACAGCAAGGAACAGCAAAACAGAGTGTACCAGAATCTGAAGTCAACAATGCCGAAGGAAAGCCTTCTAAGGTAGACAATGGCCTCTTCCTCTGCCTATATTGATATCACCATCTCCTTAGCCAGTGTCAACCAAAGAGGGGAAAGGAGAGAGAAGAGAGTCACATCCACTCTAAATCCAGAAGTGCAGAGTTAACCATGAATTATCCAGACTAGGCTTTTGGCCTCACAGAGAGAAATGTGGATCAGAGCAAAGTGTCCCATTTTAATAATAAAAATAAGTGTAGCAATGCATGCAGGTGGTGCCAATTCTTGTGCATCAGCTCTTTATCAGTCCTGGTCACACATGTATGAGGCAGGCACATTTCAGCACTTGCGTCCCATGACTGTCATTTGTGGAGGCTCAATGCTTGCTAGTGCTTTCACATGTGTTTGTTAATTTCCTTCTCCCATGTAAGGAAGTGAGTTTTAACTCTAGAGAGTCCCCATGCCATACTTGGTCAGTGACATGCCTGGGCTTGAATACAGAACTTCAGTCATTTGAATTCTTTCCACTGCATTGCCTGTGTCTAATACAAATATTTTTAAATAGCTCAGTTGGGAAGCAGGCACTAAGCCCTGGGCTCCAGACCCAACTGCTGCACAAACCAGGCCTGGGTCACTTCTGTATTCCCTGCCCTTGGGAGATGAAGGCTGGAGGGTCAGAAGCTCAAGGTTATCCTCAGCTACTCAGTGAGCTTGAGGTCCTGTGTCAACAATAAATAGTAAGTAATAAACAATAAATAATACAAAAACAGATAAAAATTGGCATCCTATTTTAGAGAAAAGATGCCTGCTTAGGCTGAGACCAGGGTCTTTAAATGTTCCAGAAGAAGGCTGAGAGGCGGTGGAATGTGGAGGCAAGTCAGATGAAGTTGAATTAAAACCTGGAGCCTGCAAAGTCACCATCTCCTAGAGAAGAGAGTAGACAGCATTGTTGGTTTTGAGATAGACTATCTAGGCAGCTCTAGCTGGCCCAAACTTGCTGTGTAGACTGGGCTGGCCTTAAATTCACAGAGCTCCTCCTGCCTCTGCCTCAGCCTCTGCCTCTGAAGAAAGTTTTCTGAAGAGGAGACAGTGACTACAGTGACAATGGGCCCAACCAGCCCTGAGACTTCAATTTCTAAGTACCCGTTCCTGCTACATGGAGTGTAGGTTCTTCAACGGTAGAACATCTAACTGTCAGGGAGTCAAGGGGAGAACCTGATGGGCCTGGAGCTTCTGGAGTCAAAGGGCAAGGGCTCATCAATGGGGTGCTGAAGGGGGTAGCAATGAGAGTACTGATCAGGGAGTGGGGTCAGGATGGGAGTACTACAGGGCTGAACAAAGCCACTAGCAGGACTAGTGGAGCTTTCGTGGCAGAGAAGTCAGCTACTGTCACCTGTGCTCAGGCTGATACTCAGAGGCAAGTGGAAGGGTAGAAAAGCCACATGGAGGAAGCAACGGTAGGCTTTGAGTTTGTCCTGTTTGGAATCTGCTGGTGGTGAAGCAGGGGAGGCAGGGCACCCTGTGAGAGGAGGCAGAGGACTCAATCAGTGTTCTCTGGTTTGATTTGGCATAAAGTGAAGCAAGGATCAAAATTAGAGGCTTTGAGGGTAGATTAGGAGATGCTTAGCTGCTTCCTCCTCTTCCTCTTTTTCTTCCTCTTCCTCTTCTTCCACCTCCCCTCCCATCCTCTTCCTCCTCTTCCTCCTCTTCCTCCTCCTCTTCCTCCTCTTTCTTCATTTTTGACAGGGTTTCTCTATGTAACCCTGGATGTCCTGAAACTTGCTCTGTAGACCAGGCTGGCCTCGAACTCAGATCTGCCTGCCTCTGCTTCTTGAGTTCTGGGATTAAAGGTATGCACTGCCACCACCTGGCTTGCTTAGCTTCTGGTTTGGGTTACTAGAGATTGGTTTCTGACCTGTAAAAAATGAGGGCTGAGATTGTTGTAGGACTCGTAGCTAGGGGCTGGTGGCTCCAGACTGTGGGCTGTAGGTCTGGTTTTGTATGCAATCTAGCCAGCACTCATTTGTATATTCAATTTCTCAGTACATCAAAGGGGACACCAGAGGCAAGCTTTATTTGGAATAATTTAAACATTTCAATGAGTAAAAACAGTAGAGGCTTATAACTCATTCAGATAAAGATATGAACAATATCAACAACAAAAAACAACTTAAAAAATACAGATGCTGGCCTAGGGAGAATGTTCAGTGGATAAAGTACTCTTGGATCCCTAGAACCCATGGGAAGCTGGGTATGCTACAGCACATCTTGTTTCTACATTCAGACGCTTTACCATCTGGTTGGGCTGGGGCTAGTGTGGACGATCTTCATTTCTGACTGCTGAAAAAGGAGAAACATGGTGCAACAATCACTTTTGCATCTGGGAAAGGAAAACATTAGAAGGGAGGAACCACGTACACCCCTGCAGAAAAGTAATGATAAACCTCACAGGATGTTCAGTTCCTAAGAACAAGAGGCTAAGAAACAGCTTTTTACAGATGTATTTGTGACCAACACTCACCCATTTGGCGATTCTTGTTTTGTCTCAATAGTAGTAAATTGAACTGATTGTCCACCACATCTCGTCTTAAATATATCACCCTAAATCCAAGAGAAAAATGTCAGTTACACTTGATAACATCCAAATGATAGTCAAATCTATCTGAAACTGATCCAAGATTCTTATCATACCCAAAAGACCCTTGAATTTACTGATCAGAAAGTTTAGTCCATCTCTCATTAACAAGATGATCACCACAAATAATCAGTAACATTCTTAGCTGTGGGGAACATATTTTATTGCACCTATAGCTTTAAAACCTGAACTGCAACAAGGGTCAGTAACCGAGCCCACATTTCAGTGCTGTTGTCCTTGCAAGACCTGCAATGACTCCCACCCGTCATTGTCTTTTTATATTGTAGTCCTGATTTTTTTCCACTGGCTGTATGATCAAAAGAAAAGTCTTCTATAAGCAGGAAAGGCTCTTCTTTCCAAGAAAGAGTTTTGGGTTGCTCAGTAGTAAGTAACATCTTCAGTTCATTTGTTTATTTTTGAGACTGTTAACTGAGATCCTCTAAGTTTTGATACAAACATTTTTATATTGAAGTAACAGCTAAGTAGGAGACACTTGTTTAGGTTTCTTTTTGTTACTCGCTTTTAAAGATAACTATGTGTTCCAGCATGGCTTCCTGCCTGCCTGCCTGAACCTCGCAAGTGCTAGGGTTCAAGCAGTTTGTCAATATAGGTTTACTTTTGAAACATAAGTTTTAGCTAAAACTTTCCTACTGTAGTAATTAAATTATGTCACAAGAAACCTAAGATTCAGATGCTGGAAAGATAGCTTAGTGGTTTAGAGTTGACTGCTCTCCCAGAGACTCTAGGTTATCAGAATCCACATTGCAGCTTACAACTGTCTATAACTCACCCTTGTAATGCACAGATATATATGCAGGTAAAGCACAAAAAATAGTAAATACGTCTTTAAAAAGAAAAGTAGCCCAAGAGACTAAGTACTTAAAGCAGATCTGGCCTCAGCGATTCATAACCTAAGCAATTTCATTCATTTTCTGCAAAAACAAAAGTTCCACCCAGCACCCATTCATGTTCTAGATCTGGTCAAAGGATAGCAGGGCAAATGTCTCTCCCTGGTATGCTTTTTTTTCCAAATTATTTTGGGCCAGGTGTGTCAGCATACACTTTTTAAAAAATCATTTATGTATATATGAGTACACTGTAGCTGTCTTCAGACACATCAGAAAAGGGCATTGGATCCCATTACAGATGATTTTTCTTGGAATTGAACTCAGAACTTCTGGAAGATCAGTCAGTGCTCTTAACCTCCAGCCCTCTCACTGGTATTCTTTTGTGAAGACTTGTTTACCTTAATGACTTTAGAGTGAATCTCTCCATTGGTGGCTCGTTCCCAGTGGATCATCATGTACTCACTCTTAGCCTTTTTTGTTTGTATAGGCACTGTGATGGTGTTAGGGACATGTGGCTGCATGAATGTCTCAGTCTCCACATTAGAGGCAGGCTTATGATCTTCACATCTGCCATTTGCAGAGTGGGACCTTCTGTGTTCCTCAGTTAGTTGTGTGTACTAATCAGGTTGAAAGAGGAATTGGGAAACAAGCACAACCAAGGATTACTTTGAGGTTCTGTTAGAAGTGTAGCAGTTTACAATGCAAGTTCACAGAAATCAAACCTGTCCACACTAAACATGAAAGTCATTCAATGTTCTCTTCTTAGCTAAACAACCATCAGGCATCTTTGGACAACAGCATGAAGAGGAGACAGTCTGTTTTGGGAGCTTCCATTTCAACAAAGGGCAGAAGATACAATTGGAGTGATGCTAGATCTTCCTGTCTATGGCCAGTTCAGGACAAATAATCCATTTTGCATTCTTGATCAAACAACAATTATTGCCTGCTTTGTGAAGTAATATATAGATTAGCAGGTCTGTTAAAGATATCAGCAGGATCAATATAACTTAAATATGTCTGAGGCATTGACATAGAAAACATTCCTCATGTACAGCCAGAAAAAAAGAGTGCAAGCTGTTGAAGCTCTGGTGTAGGAAACTCCTGAAGATGACAGGGGACAGGAACTTCATGTGTGTCATGCCTCAACAGTGTAATTAATTCTAAAGAAGACAGGGGACAGGTACTTCACATGTGTCATGCCTCTATAGTATAAGTACTTCTGAGCACTTGCAGTAAATATTTTTATACTTCAAAACACATAATCCACAAAAGCTTTAAATATACCAGGATTATTTTCCCAACTGTTCCTTAAAAGCTCCAAGAATCAAAGACTATTGTATGAAATCAGCTTGTATCACATAAAAACTACTTGTTTTCCAGTCAAATGTCAAGGTAAACAGCACATTCAACTTTCAAAAACACATATTTCATGTACATGATATAGTAGCATGAGCAACTGTGAGCATCTCCTATTATAAAACAGAAATCAGAGTCTGCAGACACAGTCCTTGCAACCTAGCCAAAGGAGGATTCTGATTCAGCTGTTCAGATATAGGAAAGCAGCTCAGGACAGCTCAACTGACAACGTACAACAGTCACAACTGCCACTAGGACACTGAGCTACCGGGAAGGCAGGAAACTTCCATTCTGAAAATGGTTTCATCGATGTTGAATAAGAAAACTCTAGCTCTTAAGATCTAGCACTTGACACAAGAGCTTCCTCAAACACATTCACAGCATAATACATTCCAACCAAACTTTGAAAAGGGGACAGACTGCACAGAATATATTAGCAATCATGACTCAAGTATTTTGAAACTCCTTCCTCACCAAAATGTAAAACTCAGTTCACCTGATAACTTCTCACCAATGAAAATGGACAGAGATACTAACCTTGTGGACACTTTTCTGCTGCACTTTTAAAGAGATTAGAATTTTGAGAAAGAAGTTAAAGTCTATGTCTCTAGGCAATCCTCCTGTCTCACAGCCCAAACCAGGCATTTCTTTACTGCTGGACAGGTGAGTCTGACATTCTCAAAAGAGGAGCATTCACTAGAGTTGATCACAGAGACCATTCTCCATGACTTGCTCCCTAAAAGGCTCAAAGTAAAACCTGCTAAGTAAGAACTTGAGACTTTAGCCTGTTGCCTCTAAGAACTCTGGGACTGGCTGGTCACCATCATTAGTAATCAGATTGCAGGGCATTTATTGACATTCTACATCAGCTAAGATCTTAAGCAAGTATTTACTTGCAAGACTATTTTACTTAGAACACTTTTAACAGCTAACATTTTATTAAATATATAATTCACAGTACTTGTGTGATAATTTATTCAAGTTCAAAGGAAAATTATCTTCATATTGAAGAAATATAAATTGGGTTAACTTAAGCACCCTTGAATGAGGCAGAGCCCTTGTAAGGCATTAAGATAAACATTTTCAGCATGTAAAAACTGTCCGGGGTTTCAAGCAGTTCAAGTCACAAAAATAATAAGGTGGAAGCACATTTTATAGTAAAGATTTGTGGTTGCCACATGCAGTGCATGCATCTGGAGAGCAGCAAGCAGGCCATCACTGGGGAAGGCAGGACAGTGAGAGGCCATCTACTCAGGAAACGCTGACTTCTATGTGGTAAAGTCTGTGGTTACATAGAAAAATGTAAAAATAACTATGGATGTTTGAAAACATGGTAAGGATTCGTACTCTTAACTATCTACCAAAAAACCTATAAAACATATAATTCTGTGTATAAATATGGACAGTGACAATTTCTCATCTGGCTGACAATTAGCCAAAGACAACCTAAAATAATCTTCAACATCAGGCTTGAGAACTCTTCTTTTGAGTCGTTGATCAGAGTTATCCAAAATACTCCCCAAAACATTACAGGTTATTGTGATTACACTTGATTGTCCCACCCCAAGACAGAAGGTAAGTCTTTATTGCTAAAGACATCATACACTTTAGAAACATGACCCAGAGACCCCTGAGATAGAAAGGACGTAACCCTGAGTACTTGCTTTCATGGTTACAGATGGCACTGTGCACACTTCCAAGAGAGAAAAGAAACCAACAGTGATACTCAGATAAGATGCCTCTGAACCACAACAATGACCAGCATGACTTGATAACCTAAGGGTGCATTAGTGGCATGCATACTTTAACAGTCATTAACAGCTCTATAATTGGAATTAAGGCCCACTCAAGAAGAGAGAAGTCAAGGATGATACTGAAAACCTAGCCAACTACCAAGGTTTAATGTAGGAATGAATCCAGAAGAAGAACTCTCAACCACCAATTTACTAAATCAACATAATTCCTAACTAAAATTTCAGTATTTGTCCTTATACACACAGAATAGTGTACTCTTCACCTCACATCAAAGAAAATTCTTCCTACAACTGTCAGAAAT